ACACACACACACACACACACACAACACACACACATACACACACACACACACACACACACACACACACACACATACACACATACACACACACACATACACACACACACACACACACACACACATACACACACACACACACACACACACACACACACACACACCATATATATATATATATATATATATATATATATATATATATATATATATATATATATCACGCACACACACACATATATGCATATGTATGTATACATATGGATATCCATATATGTATATTTTGTATATATAATATATATATACATATATATTATATTATATGTATATATGTATGTATATATACATACATATATACATATATATAAATAAATACTTTAATTATCTGTCTGCCTGTCTCTGTCTCTCTCTTTGTCTATCTGTCTCTTCCTCGATCAAATCAGTGGAATACAAATGCTTGTTGGAAAATTCGACTGATGGAATTCTTAACTGGCCATTGATCAGTTTATATTAACAATTATCAACGTATGCTTCCTTCTTCCGTTTATATATTTCAATGGAGTTACTCTCTGTTTAATGGTAAACGCTTGGTGATAACAAAATGCTGAAATCACAACTTTTTCCGCAAAATATGCTGGGACTCTGAATGTGCAAATAATTCTAAATCATCACACTTTCAATTATTTTAAAATAGTTCAATGAAACTGACGTAAACTGCTGCTACATTTACGTTCTTAAGTGAATTATTCTCTCTCGTGCAGACAACCAAACACCACCAGTCGTAATCCGTATCAAAAGCGTGTACTAAGACACTGAGAAGGAATTCTGTCTTCGATTTAAGGACAGAACTGCCAGACGTACAACTTATGAAATGCCTGGTAGGTGTCTGTGTGAGATATATGGACTAGTTAATATGTTATTGCATATTATATGTACTATGGTGGGTGAGCCCTCTGCTCTTTTTCATATATCAAAAGTACCATTTAAATGAAAATCAGAGAACCCTTTTTGACCTAGAGAACATAATAGACTAGAAAGGGTGTCACAAAAATCGATCAGGTGCTATAAATTTCTCCAGAACATATGGATATATGGTATAAATAAGTAAGCAGAAAAATCTATGAACAGTACATGTGTGTACACAGTACATATATTAACAATGAGATCCTATATATATAGATATATATATATATATATATAATATATATATATATATATATATGACATATATATATATATTATGCAATCTAAATATATGCCTGGCTTTTTACAGAACATGTAAAAATTTCACCCTGATATACATATATATATATTATATATATTAAACAATATAATATTTAATATAATCATATAATATATTAATATATATTATATATTAATATATTATATATATTATATTATATAAATAATATATATATATATATATATATATATATTATGTAATATATATAATATGTGTGTGTTTTGTATGTGTGTGTTGTGTGTGTAAAAATAACTACTATACACAAAACAAATATAAGTAACTATCATCAAAATATCTTATATATATTATACACAACGAACACGCATACGCACACGCGCCACGAGACACGGGACACGGGCACCGCACAAAGCGCACGCATAGCCACACACATTAATATTATGTATGTATGTTATATATACATATACATTGTCAGTGTTCTTTTAATTTGATGTTTTAGTATGGCCTTGTTTATTAACTTAGATTCGAGGTGAGATAATTGAGTCTCATCAATTATATTATCAGATGTATACAAAAATGTCGAAGCGGAAAAAAAAAACGGGGGCAGCCGTAAGGACACCAGGACAGCACTTTAATAGCCAAAAATTGCTATACGTAGGTGACACCTGATGTGATCTTAACGATGAGGATGATAACTTGTATACTCACCAACTACGGTCTATTGATATGTCTACGAATATATATATATATATATAGGTGTATATTTATATGTTCATATATAGGTAAATTAATATATGCTCAATCTTACCCCGCCACACACAATATATAATATACGTACCAACGAGACACACAAACAACGAAAGTACACCTTAAGGAGAGGAGGGAAGACTATTCATCATAGGTATGCGGACACGACAATGTATAATAGTATAATATATAAATGATTTATATTAATATAGTAATATTATATATAATGAATATAATGTATCAATTAAATCTTTGGGTAGTGTGACTGTAATGGCTTGAAGGCTGTTGGGGGTGGGAATGATTTCCTTCCTCTGCCAAATTTTATGTCATACAAACATTTTTAACGATTAGCATTTTATTCTGTAGACAAATAATAATGAACAGGTGGCATATCGTTCTGTAGATCTTAGCAATAAACAATTCAAATTCGCAATATTCTCAACTAACAACAAATTTTGAAGGTTAACTCTATACCCTCCCTTTTCTTACTATTATGAACCAAAAATCATTTCAAGAAACAATATAAAAACATATCTCACACCCAGTCTATCAGCGTTCTTTCCATGATTTTAGTAGGACATAAGCCAATCTTTTCCTTTCCTTTAATCTTTAAAATTTTCCTCTCACACTTCCCCCTAATAAATAATTTTCTTCTCCCCCAAATAAATAATTTCCTTCTCAATCTATTCATTGATACCATCAGAACTGTCACCTATGATTAATTCCGTACCTGTAACCACGGGCCATTAAAATAATGAATATATAACGAAATATGTCCCCAAGCAACAAAGCATCAAGGCTGTTGTTCTTGCCTCATTTTCTCAATCATTAATGTCTCTCTGTACGGAAGGAAGACTTGTCTCAATGAACACAAATCAATACAAAGGGATTTAAGAATTACATTAATACATTAAGCATTACAATTTATAAATTTAGAGTAAAACAACTTTAAATTCAATCATTTAACATACCACTGTATGGGAGGAAGGCAAGGACTCATCTGACGAAATGTTAAAATAACGAAATTATTTCCTTGTGAAAGGCTAGATCAGTAGTAACTTGAGGAGGTGTCATGGCATCTGTTTATTTTGATGATGTCACAAAAGTTACGGATGCTTTGTGAATGAATATGGTCGATCATTTTAGTCTTTTCAGTTTTCAAAAAGGATGGAAAATAAGGATTTTAATTGTTATATTATCATTGAACAATCAACAAAATAGCCATGTGCATGAGAAGAGAGTGCGATCATGTTTATCCATGAATGATTCTCAAGTGGAATTGCTCGCGGTGGGAGTTAAGCCATAGGCCTGGCTTGAAGGAATTAAATATACTATTTTATTATACTCCATATATATATGTATATTATATTATATATAATATATATATATATATTATATATATATATATATATATTATATATATATACATTATTATATATAGTTTATTTAATACATTTATATATACACATACATATATACGATAATACATACATATACATACTACATACATACATACATACATACTACATACATACATACATACATATATATATATATATATATATATATATATATATATATATATATATATATTAGTAGTATATTGCATATTTAAATTACATATAAATACATGGATAAATAGATGAAAATATATTATAGATTTGTGTGTATGTGTGTCGTCAGATTTATAGGCATTCTTATAGACAGACAGACAGTTAGAATAGATAGATAGAAAAAGTTTTTTAGGTAGCCAGACACAAACAGATTGACAAATGGATATTTTTGCCTCTTGTAAAACTGCAATTTATTGTACATAATTGTTTCCTTATAAAAATTCTCAGTTCTCCTTTCATAATTAGATCATAATATCCTAATTATTGCAGAAAATCAAGCTTTCCATTTTCTCTTAATTGCTGATTCTTTAAGTTTCAAATGAGGTTCTTCAAAGCCTGAAACTGCTTCATAGGTTTCCATACTTCTTCAGTTATGATATAATACTTGTCTCTTTGGAATAATGTTTATCAAAGCAAATGGACGATTATAATTTTTAGTGGTATTTTAGTAATCTCATGCATTAAATTATTTCATCAAGAGAAAAGCACATCCGTCAAGTATATTCTTTTTTACTTTTGGGAAAGTGTTGCTGCATTATGTCACTTATTTCATATTTTTTTGTCTGCTAAATACTCATTGCACCATCTTCATTCCTTAAAATAAAAACTTGCACAGACAATAAAATCAACCATTAATATTATATGGCTATTATTGGATGTAATTACTAGTTATGCAGTAAAGGTATTGAAATAGGTAAATTCTATTCAAATGCATCTACACTATGCAAAAAGGCCACTACATATACAGTATATAAAGCACAAAAAAATCAGATTTCTATTTTACACAAAAGCATGATTTTATAAGACAAAATACTAATTAGGGTAATGAATAAACTATTAGAATGACTTCATTTATTGAATCACAATTCAGAATATTTGAAGAATAATGTGTGGTACATAATGTAGAAGAATAATTAAATGGCAATACACATTAAGTATATTAAGACTGAACCCAATTCCAATCAATGCATTACTCCATCAGTAACATACGCTTAGGATGTTCATTATCCACATTTGTCGGAGTCACCTTTCCCTGCATAGCCTTCTTCTGTAGTTACTGTTCTCACGCCATACAGTCAACAGCCAAGAAAGATAGTTAAGAATGTACTCATTATTATTAAGACAAACGTACCTAACTATTTCTGGACAGACTAAACTTGTATAACCACTAATTTCTTAGTGTTAAAATCTGTTGAACTTCAATTCATTCTTCATTATAATATAGTTCCCAGCATGCACGACTCTCCCCACAGTATACTCTACAGTTTACTTCAACATTGCTATCTATAGCAACTGCTGAAGTATATAATATATTCTATGACCAGCATAATTTTATTACTATAGAATATAGTACTGTACAGCATTAGGATGAAAGATAACCCTGTGTAGCAGTAATATCATACATCTTATACTACTCTCAATGTTAAATATCATGAGTTTGGCATGTTTGTGGTCAGTGTCTGTGCTCTTGTGTAAATTATGATGAATATGTGCTTGTAAGTTTTTCTGTATGAAATTCCATGATGCTTGTGCATAATATATATGTATTCTTGTGAAATCTTTAGGAATATCGCAGTAGTGTACTACACGCTATTAAAGTAACTGTGAAGCTGTACAGGGTCACTTTACAACTGCAGGTCACATCTCTGCTTTGAACATAAATGCATTATGATTCAGATAAGAAAAAAATGACAACAAATTTATTCAACTATTATAAAATATCAGCTATCAAGTGATTTCTAATACAGAATTTACACTTTCCTTTTTTATATCCTATGAAAATTTGCAAGAAATAGCAGCAGCATCAATAAACTGCTGAAGCTGCACCAAACCATTATTATAGAATTACTTTCTCATATCATTACAATTTCCTTAAACTGCCAGTATGCTTTACAGACCATATCACTTAAACACTATGTTGTAATTTATCTTTAAATTTAGTGAAATGGAACTTCAGCAATGATGAAACTACTGCAGATTACACATTTCCTTGTAAATCAGATGGACCTTAACTGACAACATTCACCTAAAACTGGGTGTGAATACAGTATGCAAGGAAACATCCAGACACTGACCAGTAGGTATAAGTTATAAGTTTATTACTACTCCAGTGTTTTTGTGTTTAATACGGTGTCACTTAATTTGTGTGGACGACCATCTTTCAAGTACATTTGGTTGTCTATAAAATATAAAATTTTCCTCTTACACATTTAACTTACAGCCTAATTGCATTTTCTCACCATCACTACTATTAAAAAGTAAGAGTTGGGGAATGATTACCAAAGTCATATATCCTCTGAAGACATTCATGACTCCTACATTCCAATATACAAGAGGAAGAGGGATACAGAGGGGAGTAAAAGAAGGGGGAAATAAATTGTCTTGTTCTGATCAATACATCTGATGATTGTATATCGAGGGCATTCACAAAAGAAAGAGAAAAAGGGATGATGCAAATTCAGTGACAGTTTTCTAGCAACATGACAACTGATTATATCAGTTATACAGTAAACAAAAGCAAACTTCACCTACACATCTACATATTGTTTAATATGTCTTATAGGTGACAGACACGGTTACACAGTAACTCACAGCACTGCCAATTACTGCTAGATACATTGTACTAACACTGATCACTGAAGGGCAAAATAATTTACAAGACAAGAAACAGGAACATATGTTAAACTCAATGTTTAATTTTTTAGTATAAATGAAACATCAAATAACTGCAATCATAATAACTAATGGAGACAAAACATTTAAACTTGGTCAAATGGCATCAAACTGCCACATAAAAAGAGACACATAAATTTTCTTGTGTATCACATTACCCTTTGACATCAATGGGACCCCAAGACTCCAATCTCCAACTTGGGAATGTGGCTTGGGTGTTCTAAGAAGTTATACGGAATGATCAAGTCCCTTCCAGCAGAGCTAAAGGGCTTTACAGGCAGTGGGGGAAGGTGCACAGAGCCCACTGCTTGTACATCTCTCCATATTGTGTCATATCTTGTCAAGTTTCTGGTCCTTTAGATCTGTTGAGTGGCTTTTCCTCTTATTGTCGACATTTGTCTTTTATCCCAATCTCTTTTAGTTCACAGAATAACATCTGTCATGCCTATCACTGCAAAGCCAGCAATAAGGAGGTCTTTCTTCAGAAGATCTGGTCACTTGGACCTTTGGGTGTACATACCTAATAAAATATACATCATCAATAAAAAATGAATGTACAGAAAAAACATACACACACTGTGGTTGTCAGGCATTTTTCTCCATCACATTCTGTTCCATTCCTCAGTTCAGAGTTGCTTTTCTCTTTTCACTATCACAGACTGTTATACCTTAATCTGAAACATCGTCCTTCAACGGACATATCACAATTCTTATTCAGGCCAACTGGTTCTATTTCCTCTCTATTTACAGAATCACTGGGAACAAAAGTGATACATACAGAACATTAAAGCATTTATCACAACCTAACTGGAGACATTTTTACCCAATAAGATAATAAAAAAAAAATACAGAAAATGATTATATCATGTCCAACTGTCCAAGTTTTGTCCTTTCAGCTAAGATTTATTTTGGGTTTGCAAGTGATGAAAAATTAGGCAACAGTTTTCAGAATTCCTGTATTAATGACTGTGGAACCAAAAGTGATCTAATACATAAGAGCATATCTGTCAAACTGAATTCTTATAATCTGGTATTAGTTAATTTACCCTTAAATTTGAAGTACATTTCACTTTTTGTCAATGCTTTCCAATTTTACAAGTTCACATCAATTAAACAATAAATGTATACAAGATCTAGCAAAAGGAGAAAAAATGGGAAAAAAAAAAATAATAAAATAAAGAACGAATAATTCATCAACGTTTATCAACCGACTCCAGTTTTGTTGAATCTTAAAAAAAAAAAAAAAAAAAAAAAAAAAAAAAAAAAAATCTTTGGTTTAAGCAGATATGCAGACACAAAACTGGTTGATTTTCACATATTGGAGTGAATATTTACAGATTCTGAATCAAATTTGAATTTATTTTCATCTTTTACATCAATCATATTTTCTGAAGGTACCCACATTACGTTCTTCTTTACTGAAAGGGTTGGTTACAATCTTTAACGAGAATGACTTTGGCTTTTTTTTCCCATATTGTACTAATACTGCTTGTCTTTTATCAGTCCTATTATAAGTGTATTTTCTTCTTATTATCATCATCAATAATGGCAAATACAGACTCATGAGAAAGGGACAAGTCATGTAAAGCCACATTTCATATGAACATACATCAAGAGGACTTCAAGTACAGTAAATAGAAAATAAATCTGCTCTTGATTCAAAAATTGCCTTGAAGAAATATTCCTTAGTCTTCCCATCATCCTGATGAAAATAGTTATATCTTTAATTTTCAGATAATTTTTCCAGAAACTTTTCCCATACTAGTTCTATGGAAATTGTTTTATGACTCCAGCTGTAATTCTTGGACTAAATTTATTTAATGGAGAGAAAAAAAGACACTTCTCTACTTTATATACAGAAAGCTATATATCATAGAAAGAAACCTAGTAATGAAACTGTCCATGTTAGAAGTCAGACATCCTCTAAAATAATGAGTCCTACTTTTTAGGCCTATAAATGGATTTGTATGTTTCTTGGCACCCTTTTACTTTTCAGCTGTGATTTGGACAGGAATTCTCCACACATACCTTCTAGTTCCACTATGTATCATTTCTCACACCACAAGATCACTGTGTAGTTTTGTAGTTTAGGTGCTGAGTTGATAGCTTCACGAAGTTCCTGGTTTAAGAATTAAACCACCTCTTTAACAGGCTGGTTGGTTGGTCACTCACTCACTCTTGTAACAGTACATTTGTAATTACAGTTTAGCCAACACTACTGATCTTTTCTACTTCTACACCAACACATTTCTCAAGTTCTATGCATCAAGCTTACTTACTTCTCACCTTTTAGTACATATGAGGTCTGTTTCCACACTGATACTTGGTATTGCTAGAACAACATGTCTGGCCACAAATACAGTACATACAATTTCTACAATACTGTAGTCTAATTTTCTACCTGTTTATTTTTTCAAGGATGCATTATGAACACAAAGGATAACAATCACTGTGTTTATCCACTTTCATTAATATTCTTTATTGAAATAACATATATCTTTTTCTTTTTCTTAACAATGAGTTATATTGCTGATTCAGGCAACTTTGACAAACCACTACTGGCATTCATATCCACCAAGACTTCAGAGCTGATGGTAGCGACATTGGCAGTTGCTCCAGGTACTCCACCATTGTTATTGGCTGCACTATTGTTGTCACGCTGAGCGAAATGACGGCCCAGGATTTTCACTGCCGAGTATCTAGCTCGCTGATAAGCACTGAAGGTATTGAATCCCAAGAATCTGTAAAATAATAATGATATAATAAAACTGCTTCATGGGTGAGATGGTCTTATCTACTGGATGCTAGAAGGCAGCAAGATTAAATGAAAAATAAGGATTGAATGTACATGGCATGCCTATAGAAACAATTGGTAAGAGCTAAATGTGGTTTCCCTAAACTATATCCATTGTGACAAATGTAGAAAAGATATGAATGAGAATAAATATCTTCACAGCACAAGAGGTGAATTTAATGGTTTTCAAATATATCCTCATGTTTCTAACAAAGATTTGTTTGAAACCAGTTAAATACAAGTCTTGTATTGGGAAGATATTCATTCTCATTCATACATTTTCATAGTTTCCCTGGAATGGATCAAACAATGGTGAACCCTCCCACTACGCATCTAGCCTTCAAGACATCTGAGTTTTGGCAAATATCTAGTATCAACTAATAAAGGAAATCTCAAGAAACACACCTGTACCAATAATTAAGTAAGTGTTCAAGATATTTTAGGCAGTTGTTCCTACAGGTTGGCATGCATATTGCACATGTGCATTGAGTCTAATTTGAATTTAATTTCAATTCAAAGTATTACTTCATAAATGGGTATATATTACCAGTTCAACCAGAAGTCTACGCTATTCGAGAACTAATAAATGTTCTAATACACAAAACATATCTTTACAGAATTTCTAAAAATTGCACACTAACATGATCAGGTTTGATTGCAATAAAATCTCTAAAGACTGCATGCCCATCAACCCTCCTGAACTTTTACATCCTTCTGTGAATATATTGTGAAAACTGTATATAATATCTATATGAAAACCTTTTGAGCCTTTTCAGTGGGGGGGGGGGGTTCTCCTTCATGATGCCTTTAATACTCTACCAAACCTTCTTTGCAACAAATATATGGCTTTTACATAATGCTATTATACTTTAAATTCAATTGAAACAATAGTATCACTAATAATAGTGAAGCCAAAAAACACTACATTTCTTTATACCTCTTCTAAGAAATATACCTCCTAAAAATACACAGTAAGAAATGATTAATCATAAAAAAAGAAAGAAAGAAAGAAAAAAAAAATCTCATATGAAACTTACCGCAAACAGACGTAGATAACCAAAAGAGTGACTCCAGCGGCCAGAGATCTGATGTAGGCATTCTCATACATCTGCACTACAGCCCATGTGCCAGCTATGGTCCCACACATCACTGTCACCAGGGATGCTGTTTGCAGCCAATGGCGTGTTGTAAAGCCTTGTCCAATCCACCAGGCTCTCCCTCTCTCGAGCTGATATACAGCCCCACACACTTTGCATGACAAGTTTTCAGAGGAATTCTCAGCACACTGTAAAATAACAAAAGTATGACTAAGCTCCTAATGAAATTCTAATCATTATGTTATTAGCTTGAAGACCTGATAATTTGTATGTATTGTTTGCATACAATACTAGGTCTCTAAAATAACTAAATCAACACATTGTAAAAGGGAACCATATCTTGTGGCATAAAATGTTCATACTACTGCATGAATGAAAAAGAAAACATACCAATGACAGACATATCACAAGTACTTATTTAGGATATCAATATCAGTACTGGTTTATGCTTATAATTGATTTCAAAATTAAATGACATATTTGTAAAATATTAAAGAGTCTCCAATAACAACATAAAAGATCAACTACCTCCATAAGCCACTTCCGGAGGCAGTTGTGATGGACGGCTCCAACATCCCCGCGGCAGTCACAAGGTTGAATGAGGGGTCCAGCATCTGTGCGTTCCGTATCATAACAGATCCAACACTCTGCACCACCATCACTAGTAGCATCAGCTGTTCAATCAGAGTTAAATTGATTATTTCCTATTTTTTCTATCTATATACCATCCTTTTTTCAAGAGAGAAGAAATTCAAAATGATTTTTATATACAAACTTTCTCACTAGACTAACCTAAAAACTATCAACAAGGAGAGGAGTATTGGATAGAGTATGCTCGTTTTAAGGTAGAACAATTGAAAGAAACTAATATCAAGCAAAATATAGTAGCAGGTACACTGTAGGTACAAAATCCATAATTTGTACATATCCACTTACTTCTTGGTTTGACAGACTGGCCAAGTTCAAGTGTACGTTCAATGTCTAGCTTCTTGAGGATTTTCTTTGGGTTGAGGATCCACAGCTGTTCTGGTGACATACTGTTCCACAGAACACAAGGGAACCAAAGAGCCACGCCAAGTTCCACCACTCGAAAGATGATATCATAAGCATTTCTTGACATCAAGGGGACCCTGTGGAATTAAATATATTTATGAAATAAACAGTAAGTATTATAAATTACACATAATACTCAAATTTACCAATAATCTTTACTACTAATACAGCAGGTTCCTTACCTATTCTTCCACAGTTCTCCCAGAACATCCGAGAAGAGGAAACAAACTGTAATCATCAGCATACAAGCCTGGAACACCAGCCCAAATCGGGACTGGTGAAGCTGTGACTGGTCAATTCCTCGGTGTGGGGGGGCTAGTCCTGTGAACTCTCCAACAACCTGCAATTAAATATCCATTTAAAATGCAATTCATCTACAACCAATCACAAGAACAGGCCAAGTATCATGATCATGCACAGTAAAAACACGTACAAAAGCAGCAACTTGATGAACCTAAAATACAACACATACCACAATAAACAGTACATAAAACAAGAATAGAATGCTATCGCAACACGCAGACACACACCTGCTCCGGCACAAGACGATGGGTTGACTGATCCTCCTCTTGGTCCCCGCCTGACTTGTCAGAAGTTGAGGTTGACTTAGAACCCGGTTCTCTTTTCAGACTGGGTGAGGTTGGGGAGGCAAGAGGGGAAGAAGGTGTTGAGGTGGAGGAGGAGGTGGAGGAGGAGGAGGCAGATGGAGAATCAGGGTCAGCAGGGTCAAGAAGTGGAGGGAGGAGGTCAGCTTGGGGTGGGGTTCGGGAATGTACGTTGCCCACAATTATGGTGTCACTCATGAAGCCCCCGCGTACCTACAACACAAAAGCCCACATCAATTACAGGACACTTTGAATTACAGGATATATATATATATATATATATATATATATATATATATATATATATATATATATATATATATATATATATATATATATATATATATATACGTACACAATTATGTCAACGTGGTCAACGAGTGTTCATACCATTTTTTTCCCTAGTCTAATGCAATTGTAAATTATAACTTGTATATATTGCAGAAAGAATCAATAACAGTAGAGGAAAACAAACAGAAAAAATGGGGAAAACTAAAAAAAATCAAGCCTGCTCTCTCAGAGAGATGCCAACTATAAATTCAAATATCAATATATGCTAGAAGTATATATAACTAATCTATAAAATCATGTCTATGTTTATTTTATCAATAGAAACAGCTGCTTGAACAGTTTATTAATTTTCTAGGGTTATACACCAGTAATATATCAGTAAAGCAAATAAGGGGCATTCTTCATCTCAAAAAATAATACTGAATAAATAAAAATTAAATAAAACAATTTACCTAAATTCATCTAGATTTTGAGAACTTTACTGATAAAATCACATTCTTCAGAAATAAGGGTAGGAAAAAGTGAATTAAAAATCTTACTTGGTGAAATTCCAATTTACCAATCATAACATTTTCAAAAATTTTCTACACTTATGTATTTCTTACTTATTGAAGCTGTAAAAGGAAGTAAAAAAAAAAAATATATATATATATGGGTGGGGAATGAAGTACAAACAGGGGGGATAAAATCATAATAACAGTAATAAAACATGTCCACAGTTTCTATCCTTACCTTGAAGTACACCTCAACGCCATAAATCAGGAAGAACACCACGACGATGAACAGCAATATGGCATAGCATCCATTGAACACATGGGTCAAGAAGCTCTGTTAAAAAAAGGAGAAAATACTTTTATACCCTGAATGCATAAATCATGAATCAGAAACTCAAAACAAGGTCATACACAGTAAACTGGTCATAATTCTTTTAATTTCTTTTTATTTATAATTCATGCCTTTCATAATACTACTCATTAAAAAAAGCATGAATGACAATTAACATCAACATACATACATACCTACATACATACATAGATGCACAAATGTCTGTATACATGTATTTACTCACATAAGACACCCTCAGACACACATATGTATGCATATAGACCCACACACACATACACACGCAGATTCTTCAAACACGCATACACACACATGTATGCATTTATAAACACACATCAAAACCCTCAGACACATACGCTCATATGTATCTATGTATATATAGACACCCACAGACACTCAGACACATACATAAATCCAGACATGTGCACACAGAACTCATGACCATCATCAGCCTCCATCACTTGCAGCTGGTGTGTGGCTAGTAGGCCAGATGGTGGTGGGGTCTGGAGCCTTGAGAAACTTTTAAGCCATCTAACAAAAGGGACTGAAATTCTTGCATCCATATGCACACATTTTAACACACGCTGCTTACATAAAGAGAGTCATGGACTTGTTTATAACTCTTTCATCACTATCTAGACCTATTTATGTGTGTATATATATACATATATGTATATAATTATGTATATATATTTATATATTTGTGTGTGTGTGTGTGTGTGTGTGTGTGTGTGTGTGTGTGTGTGTGTGTGTGTGTGTGTGTGTGTGTGTGTGTGTGTGTGTGTGTGTGTGTGTGTGTGTGTGTGTGTGTGTGTGTGTGTGTGTGTGTGGCTGCGTGCGTGCACGTGCATGTGTGCGCGTGCGTGTGTGTACATGTGTGTGTCTGTACGTGTGAACCCAGAACGAGAGAGGGAATCCACCTACCCTTTCCTCCGGGGTGGTGGTCCATCGCGTCAGGATAATCTCAGCCACCAGGAGCGAGTAGGTGACGATGTTGAAAGTCAAAAACCCGCAGAAGGACTTGCTCAAAAACCTCGGACGCTCACATCGTATGTCTCGGAGATGGAATGCCTGAAAAAAGAAATTTGGGTCGTTAGAGAAAAGAGAATGGAATGCTTGGTCACATACATAATAGATGGTAATAATGAAATATGAAAGAGGAGGCACTTGAAGAGAATATTTTCATTTTTCTGCCGATCCTCGTGTTGCCCTTGCTGTGGTTATTCGTAGACTTAAATAACTCTCTCTCTCTCTCTTGCAATATATATATATATATATATATATATATATATATATATATATATATATATATATATATATATATTTCTATACTAAACACACATACAACACACACACACACATCTTACGCAATCCTAAATTTCTAACATCACCTCAATAAATCCTCTTAATTAAACCACACCCTCAAGCCTCAAGCAACCCCTCTCGCTTATACAACTCGAAACGTAAGCCTAACACCCTCCCTGCCTCGTAATGCCTGACAAGCAATTACCTCCTGAACCACAAACCGAAATCTCACTTTCCTTTTCCACTGAAACCGCGACGTGACTCATGTGTGTGTGTGGTGACATGTGCGAGTGGGAGGGAGGGAGCTGTTGAGAGTGAGAGAGAGCAAGGAAGAAAGAAAGATAAGAAAGAAAGAGAGAGAAGAAAAAAAAGAATAAGAAAGGAAGAGAAGAGAGAGAGAGAGAGAAGAGAGAGAAGAGAGAGAGAGAGAGAGAGGAGAGAGAGAGAGAGAGAGAGAGAGAGAGAGAGAGAGAGAGAGAGAGAGAGGAGGAGAGGAGAGAGGAGAGAGGAGGAGGAGAGGAGGAGGAGAGGAGAGAGGAGGAAGAGGAGGAGGAGAGGAGAGGAGGAGAGGAGGAGGAGAGAGAGAGAGAGGGAGAGAGAGAAAGAATTCCCCACACAACACACAAAAATGAAAGAAAGAAAGAAAAAACGAAAATACGAGAGCAAACGAAAGAAAAAATCCCCCGGACCTCGGAGTCGCCACGAGCACCCACTGCCCCTGACACGCGCAAGACCTCCAACACCTGCTTTTGGTTCAGTGACCCCATCAATCACACCATACAGCAATTTTAGCAAAACACACGAAGAAGAAAACTAATTGAAATTCGAAAAAAAAGATAAATGAAACAAAATAAGATAATAATAATAATAAAAATAAAAGTAAAAATCTGGTAAAACAAAGACTTCCAACTTCGTCAAAGAGACGATGATGAACTATTTTAATGAGTTATATTGCAAAGTAAAAAAGAAAAAAAGGCGAGGAGAGCTTTGAGACAAAACTTCAAGAAAGAAGCACCATCTTGTCCATTAAAACATACAGCCGTTTTCTTTCTTCTCTTTGCCTTTCTATCTTTTCCTCTCTCTCTCTTTCTCTCTGCCTCGCTCTTCCTCTATCCATCCCCCCTTTCTGTCTTTCTTTCTCTTTCTATCTCCCCCTCCCTTATCCGCTCCCTTCTCCCCTCTCCCCCTCCTCCTTCCCGTTACTCTCTCTCCCACTTCTTCCTCCCCCTCCTCCTCCCTCCCCTCCCCCTTCCCCTCTCTCCCACATCCTCCCCTTCCTCTCCTTCCCTCCCTCCTCCTTCCTCTCTCCCCCTTCCCAAATCCACCAAACATCCTAAAAACGAAAAGGGAAACTCCTTCAGCCTAATGCCACCAACCACCCGCCTGCCCCAGCGAGCATGAAACGCAATTTTCCTGAGCACTTTCAACCCGCGCAGGACAGCAGCTAACCCACCACTCGCCCGGGCAAAATAAGTTTAAACTTTTTTCCCCTTTCTCCAGAACTGACACACAGCAAAGACTTGGGCCAAGAACAATGTAATCCACAGGTAATCTTTCCTGGTCGCTTTCTTCGAGTGACTGCATCATGCACGCACGCAACACGCACGCACACCATACCAGACCCGAATCTGGTCCGTGGTTCAATTTTGCTTTGGCACTTCCCCTCCTGCTATTTGGAATAGTTTGGGCCACTAGTAAACACGGCTAATTTAGAATACACGTGAGGATAGAACTGTCCACACGTGCGGACAATATTACACTTAGTTCAGGGGCCAAGTTGATTCAAGCACGTACACACACGCGTATGCACGGACTGACACGCGAAAACAAAAACCTGTACAAATACAGACACAGACGCGTCAAAATAAGGGATAAACATACACATATACACGCAGACCTTTACAAACACAAGCATATACAAATCAAATACACAGACACACAAAAACATACACATACAAAGCCACGTAAAAAAACACACACACATACAATCAGACACGCCAAAGAACACACCTGCCTCCATCCCCGCACAGGCACCCCCTGCCAGACAAGGGCCACACCTGCCTCATCACTCAAAAAGAAAACACAAGTGCCCCCCACGTGTCCTCCCGTGTCCCCGCTTTCCCTCCTCGACGCCCCGGGCCAAAAAGGACACCGAGGCCCGATTGCCAAGGACACCCATGCCACTTTTGGACACCCAACCCTCGGGGCACCAGATCCCCCTGCACCGGGACAACCGCTTCCACTCTGGGACACCTACTGCCACTCGAGGACGTCCGATTCTAATCTAGGACACCCGCATCCACTCAGGGACACCGTCTCCCTAGCGAAGGACGCCGCCGCCGCCACCGCCCGCCGCCGCACGCCGCAAAGTCTCGCCGCCCCGCCCGCAGTGCCACCGCGCCGCGACCACTCCTACGGTAACAACAGGCACCTCGGCACAGAAGACTCCGAGAGACCCAGACAGCGCGGTAACCTTACAAGAGTTTCACTATTCTTTCACTGTCACTTTCTCGCAGCGACCACACCCTCTCTCCCCTTACCCCCTCCTCCTGCACCCCCTCCCCCTTTCTCCCTTCCCTTCTTCTCGACGCTCCCCCCCTTTCCTCCCCCCAACCTAATCTCACCGTGTGTACACCTGGTGCCGCCTAACAGACAACACCCCCCTCCCTCCCTCCCTCCCTCCCTCCCCCCATCCCCTTCCCCTGCACTCTATTGTTTACTATACACGCTGCTTTCATAAATATCTCGCGCCCATTCTCTCCCTCTCTCTTTCTGTCAGTGGCTCAGTCAAGTTGAAACAAGATAACGATGGGCGGGACTTCGAAACGGGTGTCACGCGGACAAAGACCAGCGCGGGGGGGGGGGGGAGGCGATACCGAAGAGAAGGATGAATATAAAACGGAGAAAAAATAGAAAATAAGAAGGTAAAAATAAAAGTAAAAAACGAAAAGAAAAAAAAATCAAGGGCAAGTGATGGCGAAGATGAAAACGAGTATAAAGAAGAATAAGGAGTATATGAACAGAAATCAAAAGGAAAAAGGAAAAACGTTGACACACGAAAAAAGTAAATGAGAAAGAAAAATCGAAAGAAAATCTTAGATGACTCGAGCTATTTTTCCCAAACGTCTTTGCAAGTGACAAGCTCAATCACCCTCTTCCACGGGTTGAAAACGAAAACGCATAAAAACGAGATGGAGAATGTATCTAAAAAAAAAAATGATGGATGATGTATCTTAAAAAAATAAATGAAGAAAGAAAAAAATAGATGGAGAGTGTATCTT